TCATCAGGTTCTTCTACTAATGCATTATATCCCCAGCTTATAACTTTATTATATCTTTCATCATATTGAAGCGCTGTAGGTGTTTTAAACACACCTTCTCTTCCTGGCCTAATTAAAATAAAAGAAATGAAAATCTATCTGTAAAATATTAAAAAGGATTTACGTTAATTGAAAATATATTCACCAAGAATTATTTACAACAACATTTTCAGGATTCTCTTTATGAACATAAGCGAAGCCAGAATAAGTTATTCCAAAATCTACTGCAACAAGAATTCTAGTATCTCGTAAATCCATATATATATTTTTTTTGTTTTTCAAGAAATTTTTTCTGAGGAATTAAATAGATTAACAACAGTATATAATTCCTTTTTAAGCCCTTTTATCTTACATTGAAACTGAAACAAGATATAATTTAAGTTTTATATTATGTCTTTTTGTATTTAAAAAAAAATTTTTTTTTTTGAAAAATATTCTTTGCTTTTTGTTGTTATTTTAAAATGACAGAGAAAAATACATATTATCAAGGTTCTCATAAGCCTAAACAACATTGGAGAATTAAAATTCATAATTATGATCATTATAATTAGAAATTATTTATGTGGTTTGGTTCTTTGAAAAAAATTGAAAAATTGATTTATTTATTTATTATAGTTTGGAATGCTATTCCAATTGAATCTGATACAGATCTCTCAATAGAATTTAATGAGGAGACGAGTAAAATGGTTGAAATTATTAAAGAATTAAATACTTTAGAAGCAGTTGATGATTTAAATTTTTCTAAATTTATAGATGATTATAGAAATCATCATTATAATAATCCAAATTTAAAAAAGAGATTGTTAAGGATTGCTTGGAAAAGTTTAGAAAATAGCGGATTAAATCTAGATCCTCATAATATTGCGAAATAATTAGATATTTGTACAAACCAACAAAAATTATCTTTAAGACAAATGATTTTTTCTAGAATGAAATCTTTTAATATACTTGCAACATAAATGTCAAAAGTATACAAAATTAGCAAAAGTAAATCACTTTTAAAAGAAAATAAAAATTTGAAAAATCAAATATTGTCCTTGAAATCTTGAATCGGAGGTAAGTTTCTAATTGAAGAAATTTTTAGTTTGTTAGGTGATAAAGAAGGAATAAGGGATATTTTTTTTTGTTATAGGAATGATACTAATATTTCATTCCTTTTTTTTATAGGTTAGATACCAGAGCTCCTAGAATATTTTATTAAAATTTTTATATATTTATTTTACAAGTTATGTAACATTTTAATAAATAGATTATTTTTTATATTTTTCGCGTCCAACCACATATGAATGTTTATTTTATTTTAACAATATTATATTTATAGTTACATATACATTCTTAATTCAGTATATTACTAGAATAATTAAAATAAATTAAATTAAAAAATTAATAAATTATCCTTTAACAATAACGATAATAAATAATAATAAGAATATATACTAATCTTATTTAATTATACAAAGTCTTTAATTAATTCTTTTATATCATAATTGTCATCGTCATCTTTATTATCATCTGTTTCAATATATTTTTTGAATCTAAAAATATCTACATGATCGATAATAATAATTGGTTCCAAATTAAATTGTTTCATTATTTCTAATTCTTCTTCTATATCTATATTTACTACTTCTTCTTGTGCTCTTAAACTTGATAAAATACTTGTTTCATCATCATTTTCAACTATTTCTTCGTAACTTTCACTTAAAGATGTTTTAACCATTTTGATAATTTTTGCTTCTTTTGTTAATTCGTTATTATAATTTAATTCATTTTTTATATTTCTCATATAATACTGATATATTTTTGTTGTTGATTCTATTGTAGTAATAGATAATTAAGTCTACCTTTTTCTATAAATTCATTCTACAGAAGACCTATAAATAGAAATAATAAATGATTAATATAATAAATTTTAATTTTTTTAATTTAATTTAATAATAAAGTAAATAAATTACTATATTATATTCTTTCACAACTTGTTGCATGTGGACTTATTGAAAATAATTGAATTACAAAATTTTGCAATTAATTTTTTAAAGAAAAACATGTACTTCACTATTTTAATGGATTATCTTCTCCATGAAGATAAGATATATTAAATGGTATTTTATTTAATTTATATTTTCTTAATTAACTAATTAGTTCACTACAATCTTTTTTTATGTCCCATTATTTTATAAATATTACTAGCTTTTATTAAAATTTCTGGTATACAAATATCAGGAATACCCAATCCTATATTAATATAATTAATAATAAGTATTATTAATTAAAAATTAATTAATTAATAAATAAAATAAAAATATATAAACCTTTAAAACGTGGATGTAAAAAAAATGCAATTAAATAAATATCATTATAAAATCATTAAATCTAATTATATAAAATAAATAAAATAAATATAATTATTATTATAAAGTATAAAATAATAATTGCTTTAAAAAATTTACCTTTTATTATATTTTTTTATATAATAATTTTTAAACATTTTATAATCGAAACTTGATAAATTTTGAAAGAAATACTAATCCTTAATAATTCAATAAAGAAATCTGCTAAATTGGCATTTTTTCATTCTAAAAATAATATTGCTTGTTTGATTGGAAGTAATATATTAGTAAATGCTTCAACATCATTAAAAAATCCTCTCTTATTAATAATTGATTTTACAGCTTCGCTTGTTATTTTTTCACAATGTCTTTTATAAATCTATTTAAAATTAAATATTAAAATTATTAAAATTATTTAAATTTTAATATTAAAAAATATTTACTTACTTCAATAAAACAATTTTTAAGTTGTAAAATTGATGCTGTACATTCAGCTATAGTAATCTATCTAGTTTTAACATATGTTTTTAACCCCCTCCTAAAATCTCATTTTTTAAAATTAACTTTTCAAGTAAATCACATGATTTTTTAAAATAACTGACTAAAATATTACAATATTTTATAATTTTTACTACAAAATCATGTTGTAAAATATCATATGAAATAAGATTTATACAGTATGCAATACATCAAATATTAAAAATTTTAGGAAATTGTGTTGAAATTAATTGTCATGCTAATAAAACATTAGGCCCATTATCAGTTACTATTGCATAAAATTTGCTAATACCAATCTTATTAAGAATTTTAAGAATCTCTTCTGCAATTAATTCTCCAGTATGTGATACTTCT